TTTATCACTTTCACATTGTCAGCTGAGCCCCTTTTTGCCTCTTAACCCAGTGTTGTGTTTATATCTGAGTAGGTGGCGCCCTCTTCTGGTCAAAACAAGGTAGCATTAAGAAAATACACATCATATCGTGAGGGAATGACTACAGAGAAAAACACAATAAAATATATGTTAGACATATACTGCAGCACATTTTCTAAACTGGCATTGCAAATTAGGTTTTCCAATAACAGATGATCACTTGATGTTCATCAGGCTGAAGCTTTGGAACATTTTAAACAGTTTTGTGATGAAAGTTCAAAACTAATTTAGTGGCACAAGAGGGATCTACACAATCAATGTAGTGCCTGATAGGTGTTTAATGTACGACACAGGCTGCCATCCAGCTTATTTCACCAAGACAACGCCAAACCATGTTCTGCAGCAGAAGTATGGAATTATATTTGTGCCACAATCCTGAGCAAAGAAAAATCTATTCTGCGCTCAAAACTGTCACTGCTGTGTTTGCAACTATCAACATAGGGTTGAAATAGCCACCTGATTGGACAGTGTCAGCCACCCTGTGCAAGGCTGTGATTGGCTGGTTTTGGGGCACATTTGTAACCAAGTCAGACAAACGTGGAGGCAGAGTCGAGCTTGAACAGATCGTCAGTGTTGTGCGGGAGCGAGAAAGACACCATGAGCGAGCATGAACTTGTAGTTGAGCGCTTAGAATGGAGATCTGTGAGAGCGCCAATGACAAAACCAAGTGAGTGAGTACGTTGATAGTTGCAGACACAGCAGTGATAGTTTTGATCTCAGAACGGATTTTCCTTTGCTCAGGATTGTGGCACAAATATAACTCCATACAGAAGAGTCCAGCTGCTGAATGCTGTCCAGACCCGTCACCCGCTGTGAAAAAAAAAAACACAGCAGAGGAAAAACCGAACAGCTGAAATCCTCCATCAGGCAAAAAAACATTTCACTCCCAGAAACTACCGACATGAATCTCACAAAACAGAATAAACAAATAAAATCATTGCAAGACAGAGTTTTGACGAGTTTAATGAATTGATTTAGTGACAAGAGCATCCACGTTCTCCGCCTCCGTCAGGCCTCCTGCTCCACAGACGTGACCCCGTCGAGGGTTTACGTTGCGACTTATGGAATAATTAAAAGGCCACTCGCAGAAGACCCGAGGGCTCCAGAGGGTTAATAGGATCACAGCAAATCCGATAAATAGATACGAGCGAGGCAATTAGGAGTAAACCAATAAAAGGATCTTCAAATCAATTGGAAAGCAGACAGGCGGCCGGTGGAGAGACTTTAAAATCGGTGTGATGTGTGTGTTCTCCTAGTGGTTGAGATTTATTCTTCTTCGGGGGCAGTAGTCAGTCCTGCAGGTTCTAAACGCTTCCAGCAGGGTCGGAGATCTGAGTTTCAGTTTAAAGTGTAGAGAAAGGAAAATATATTTTAGATCCTTCCCTGCTTCATGCTTCTACCAGCTTCTCTGGCGCTCTTGAAATAGTTCCTACATGAGCTCGTATTGGCCGCTTTTCCTTCACTCTGAGCATCTTCAGCTGTCAGGTGACTGCGGAGGCCAGCTGTTGGGTTAAACAGCGCTCACAGCGTCTGGAGGTGTGTTTTTTTTGGCTCATCATCCTCTTGAAAAGCTTCTCTGCTGTTCATATGATGCTCTAAAGATTTCTGCAGCAAGTACAGTCGTTCTCAGATTTATTCATACCCTCCCATTAAAGAAGGAAAAAAACCAGCTGTGACTGAAATAAGTTGAAATTGACAAAAGTAGTAATAAATAAAAATTTTATGAAAATCATGACGTTGCTTTTGAATTGTGGTTCAACAGAAATATATATATATGTTTTCTAAAAAGGGACCCGTAAATTAATATTTTGATTTCACTGCTCATCAGCAAAATGCTCTAATTTGTCCGGGACAGTTTTGTTTATTTTTTTAAATTAATCTTTTCAACCACAATTCAAAAGCAATGCCTTATTTCACTAAACTATAATTTAGCAATTTTTTTATTTATTATTACTTTTTTCAGTTTCTAGTTATTTGAGTGACTGTTGTGAATTTAAATCCACCCCCCCCTCCGTCACTTCATGTGTGCCCCAGGGCTCTGTCCTGGGGCCCCTCTTCTTCATCATCTACTTTTTTCCCCTTGGCAATATCTTTCGTAAATTCAACACTCATTTCCACTCGTCCACTCGTCCGCCCACCTCCTTCACTGATTGAAAAGCTCGTTTACCCTAAATTTCCTTAAATTAAACAGTAACACAACTGAGGTTCTCCTCATTGGCACCAAATCCGCATTATCTAAAACCAACAGCTGTTCCTTTACAATTGAAAATTCCACCGTCTCACCTTCCCCCCAGGTTAAGAGTCTCGGTGTCAATCTTGACAGCACATTATCCTACCAGTCCCACATCAGTAACATCACCAGGTCTGCCTACTTCCTCCCTTTCCCTCCACACTGCTGCCGTCCTCGTCCACAGTCTCGTCACTTCCCTGGATTATTGTAATTCTGTCCTCTTTGGTCTCCGTCACAAACCCCTCCATAAACTTCAACTGGCCCAGAATTCAGCTGCCTGCATCATAACCCAAACCCCCTCGATCCACATCGCTCCTGTCCTCCAACAGCTCCACCGGTTCCAATTCAAAATCCTCCTGTTAACACTTAAGGCCATTCCCCCCATACCTCTCTGACCTCCTCCATGTTCACACTACTACCTGATCCTCCTCCTCCATACACCTGTCCGTCCCCTCTGCCCGTCTCACTACATTTGACTGTATGAGGTTTTGCTGGTCGCAGTGAGTCTGCTAAACAGGGAGGAAACTTCCCGCGGTTCTGTTGTCGACCAGTTTTTAAATCAAAGGCATTGATTTCAGATGCTTCCACGTTGATCGGCGACCAGAATGTAAAAACAGCCAGAGCCTCACAAGCATCTTGTTTACAAGAAAAGCCAGCAGGGTGTCTTTAGTCTCAGGAAACTCTCACTTCCAGCTAGACAGGAACCTCATGACAATGTTTTATCGACTCGTTCTTTTATCCGCTGGTGGCTCAAGGTCAGAAGCAAAACTGTATTCGGGGTAGTGGTGAAGCAGCAAACTGACAAAGTCTGCAGGATCCTCACAACAAACAGTTCTGTAGGGAAGCAGTCGGATTGTTTCCATCCTTTACATCCACGGTTTCAGTTTTTGCCATCTGGTGTCTCCTCAGACGTGAAACCGACAGAATGCTTTTGTACAGACTCTTAAAGACTGTCAGGATGAAACTTACTTTGAACATCTCTGGAAACAAACTGCTGAACAAATTACTTTTTTTTTTGCAGCCAAAATCAAGAAACTAAAGACCGGACAGTGTGATGTGTCGACCAGGTGGATGTCCTGAGCAGAATCAGGACACTTTTCATGTAAGATTTGTATTTATCTTTATGTAGTTTAAGTTGTAATTATTCTTATTGACAATTTTAAAATCAGAATTTTACTGTTCCAAGATAGATAGATAGATAGATAGAGATCTTTTTGACAATTTCTAATGAAATCGTGTTAAACCTTCAAACCCCACTGAATCAAAAGTATTATTAATTATAATTTAAGTATTGTTGGTCACTTACTTCATAACTGGTAGCATAAAGACACATTTTTAGAAAAAAAATGATTCAAGTATTTCCATGTTAATATTTTTTTAAAGCATCATATACTTAATTACTGTAATTATAAATGGTATTTTTAAAGTTGAAAATGTTAAGAAATTGCGTTGTTCCATGATAATAATAATAATAATAATAATAATAATAATAATAATAATAATTTACCTTTGAAACAAATTTAGGCAAATAAACCCAAAAGTGGGATATAAATATAATAAATTAGCTTCAACAAATACGTCCAGTAAAGAAAAATCCTGGCATCAACTTCAAAAAAAAAAAGTTATCAAGCCAGTTTTATTTAGTTACCTCAACTTGAATTTTACCTTTAAATCAACTAATGTAGAAATTTTAGTTTATGTTACACAAAATATTAAGTTGATGCAACATCATGATGTCAAGTCAACCTAATATAAGAATTTTTGACACTTAAAATGTTTATTTATACCTGTAAACTCGTATATAAAAACTTTTTTTTTTTTTAGTTTATTTAAATCGAGGGTGTCAAACACTCGGCCCACGGGCCAAAAGTGGCCACCAGAGGCTTTGCAAAGTGTTCCTTAATTGTAGATTTAAAATAATTTTGACAAGTTGTTTTGATCTTAAAGTAAATATTCAGTTCCTCGTATCTAAATGTGCTGCGTCTTTGTAGAAACACTGTGATCTGTAATGGACACCTGTAAACGATAATTGTGAGGACAGTTCGTTAAATGTGAACATGTACATTTTTGCACAAAGACAAAAGGGAAATTTTGGGAGTTATTTATACATGATTGTGCTGTGATTCTACTGGTCCGGCCCACTTGAGATCCAACTGGGCACCTCTGATTTAAGGTGGTGGGTAAAGATGCCTCACCAGCAGAGGTCGCTCTAACTCCAGCTCTTAGAGAGGCTCTCAAACCCAGCTGTCACTTCTGCAATAACAGCTTCTAAAAAGTCACCAAAAAAAAAACAGCCAACCAGAGGTGTCAGCGAGGAGGATTCTGGGTAAATTAGGCCTGTTGTTTATTGGTTAAATCCCATAATTAAGCCTTATTATGTGACAGCCAGTTAGTGGATTAATTAATGAGTGTTAAGAGAAATCTGATTTAACAACTTCTGATGGTAAAAAAAAATAAAAAGGAGGCAAGAGGAGGAAGGAAGGAATGGACACAGAGTGGAGGGATGAATAAAAAATAAAATAAAAGGGGAGAGGATGGAGATAATAAAAAGGGGTAAAGAGAGGTAAGGGAAGGGAGGGTGAGGCAAAGGACGCAGAGGGGTGAGGAGGAGAGAGAGAGAGAGAGAGGGAGAGGGATGGAGGAAAACAGATGATGTGAGGGGGGAGGAGCAGAGGGGAGGCAGGCAGGCAGTCTGTTCGGAGGAATCAGCAGCAGCAGCAGCAGCAGCAGGACAATGTACCGTCTCCAGCACGGATCCTAACGGGCACCGGGCGGCTTCAACAAACTGGAATATCAGGTAGGACCGCCGGGGACACGCAGACAGCCTCTCGCTTTTCACATTTTGTATGTTTTACCTGCGATCAAATGTGTGTGTGGGAGAGGAGAGGCTGCAGGAAGGAAGCGACGCAGCGCAGCAGACACCAGCCCCGGCCAGCAGCAGGGCCTGGTAGCCGCCTGCCTCCGGGTCCCCCAACCCGGCCGGTGATACCGACTCACCAGCCTGCACCCCACAACCCCACATGCTGCTGGATTTAAATCACAGCAGGAGGGGAGGAGGAGACAAAAAAGAAAAAGGAAAAAACGATCACTTTTATTTTTTTTTTCCTCCACAGTAAAACGTCACGCCGAACTCCTTTGCGAAAATCTGTTGTTTTAGCTCCCCGTGGTTGCCAGCAGGGGTGACCGCCTCTCGTGATGCCAGCTGGGGTTTCTATGAATTCCTGGAAGACTTCAGCGGGATTCGGCGTGCGAGTGATTCATTAAAGCTCGCTTAATTTAAATTTTAATCCAATCATAAAGTGTGAGCGCAGCGCGAGTCGCTTTCCGCTTCGCCCGGAGGAAGAGTGCGGGCATAAGGCGCTACGCACAAATAATAGTTGTCGTTTTACCTGTTGGTGAAGCTCTTCTGGCTATTACATGAGCGCCGAATTAATGACTGATGTATAGTAATTCGCACTGACTGTCGACTATTTTAAAGTGACAAATAGATACTATCGAGAAAGGCAGCGTCGTTTAAAAATAGACAGTTTTCGGATGGGAGTTCGGAGCGTGCGAGCATATGTCGGATATGCCAACAAAGCCCCTCTCTAGCTAGCCAATAGCAGCAGCAGGAGCACGCAGTGTGTCTGCCAGAATGAACCTTTGCACTAGGCCGGGCTCTGGGAGTCTCCTCTACAGATGCAGGGATTGTGGATGTGAATAGATGCACTCATTGTGTTTAACATAATGTGCCTTCTGTTAAAAAACGGTGTGTGTGTGTGTGTGTGTGTGTGTGTGTGACGCACGTAGACATGCAGGGATACAGAGATGCTGTGCAGCCACGGACGACTTATTACTCATGTCTGAAAGGGCAGCACATTACCATGCCAGCTCCAAAACATCCTCGCCACTGACTGCAGTGTCTGTTTCACAGATTGTGTTGACCATATTGCACATGCACACACACACACACACACACAGATCTGACTGGTTGCACACAGCTCCAGTCCTCGGTGTTACACTAGATCATGAGACAAGGTCATTTTTTTGCCATATGAACCAACCAAACACTTAGAAAACGCAGGCATGCCTGTGTGTGTGTGTGTGTGTGTTGTGGTGTAGCCTGTATTTAGTGAAGGGAGGAGGCGTTCAGGGACCTCCCATAAATAGATTACAAGTAAATAGTCATTTGCCTCCATATGCTGAGGATGATTGGTGCAGGCAGGCAGTGGTTTGTGCTGCATTGTTTTTATTTTAGATTGTATTGACCCGAGTGTGTGGTGTGTGTGTGTGTGTGTGTGTGTGTGTGTGTGTGTGTGTGTGTGTGTGTGTGTGTAGCGTCCGTGGGAGGAGGACGGGAGCTCTATCTATCCATCTCGAAGCTTTGGGTAAATACAACACATTGGATTCTAGATTAGACGGTGATTATGGAGAGGAGTGACGGAGGGGGAACCAGCGAATCGCGCCGGTTTGGAATGAATCAAAGCACCAAAATGTCCTCGAGCAGGAAGGAGAAAAAAAAACCCAAAGCGCAGTTTAGGAGTGAGAATCCAGACTGAATGGCAGGAAGCAAACCCCAAACCACAAGGGAGCCGGGCTCGGCAGATGAAGTGTTCTTAGAAAGATGAGCTGTATTTTAGTCGTCTTTAACCGGGTGGCACCGCAGAGGAGAGGGGCAGCCCACCCATGTCACACCGAGGTGCAGCCGGGGTTTAGTTCGCCCGCGTGGTGCGTTTTGGAGGTTTGTCGCTTAGCCCAGGAGCTTCATCTTAACAATAACAGGAAAGAGGCCCAGAGCTGTAATCGCTGCCTCTGTGTGTGTGTGTTTCTATTTCTATTTCTATAGGCAAGGTTGCTTTCTTTACGGTGGATTTTCGCTCACTTGACTTCACATGATCAGTATGTGAGAATCTACTATTTGGCAAGACGGTGTCACAAGACTGTGGTTGCAGTGTGAGTGTGTGTGTGTGTTCGTCCCCCCGTGGTCAGCAGTGCCATCTGGAGTCAGTGTGGGACCAGACAGCTCCGGAGAAGGTCTTTCCTGTTGTCCTCTCTGCCTTTCAAGCAGCTCGGACCAAGGAGCTAACCGTGAATTCACTATGGGGTCACCAGTAGAAGATGGTAAATAGTAAAAAAGGTTAAAGGTGACAAGAGTAGAGGCACCCAGAAGTCAAGGATGTGCACGTTATCGTCGTCAAACTTGCACATTTTTAGCTTCATTGCTTCAAAAACTGATGATTTATTTAGGCATAAAGTTGCAGCTTCGTTTTCAGCCGACCGAGGCTTGCAGCTCCTTCACAGCTGAGTTTGTTTCACAAGTTTTGTCTCCCTAACAACGGTTTGGTCCCGTCGAACACGACGTCCCCGTCAGCATCGGGGTTTGTCGGCGTTGCCATGACGAAAGATGTGAGCTTCCAGATAAACAGCAACATCATCCAACTTGTTTGATCTGCTTTTCGCTTCGTGTCGCTGCATGTTGTTGCAGAGCGTTGGTGCTGGTGGCGAGTGGAGCTTTACGGGCCAAACCTCAGCAGCGGCTCAGAATGCAAGTTAAGAGATTAAAATAAAAATAAGCAGAAATGACGAGTGAAGCTGCACAACGTTCACCTGCAGCTGCTTTGATGATCGGTTGTGATTTTTCAAGCAAAAACCCCCACACTTTCTTTAGTTCCTGTTATTTGTGAAGACTCGAGGGAAGAGAGAGTTGCATCATGGGAAATGTAGGATCTAGTGTTTTTGTGGCTTGAGCCCCTCGTCTTTCTAAAAGCTCATCATTTAATTGCTGCAGTTCTTTTGGTTTGCTCTGTGCTGCGTTGAAGGTCGTTTTAAAACTGCTCCACTGAATGTTCGCCCTGAAACCCAACCACGGATCCAAAAAACTATTGGAAAATGTTTCTTTAGGGCAACTTGTGGTGACCTTGTACGTTGGAGCCAAACCAAACACACCCTTAATTAGCAGTGACATCACTCGTTGCTGTTTTGCGGGGGCATCGTCATGGTCTGGGGTCACTTTGGTCGGAAAAACTGACTTTTTTTTTGCTCGTTTGGAGCCAAATCACAAGCAAAGTGCTGCACGCTGTCACGCCGCCTCAGATCGTTCCGCACCGCCGAATTAATGGAGGCGCATGTCACACCGTCGTGACAATGCAACTTAAATGACAGCGTCTTCGCACCTCGGCTGTGAAGTTTCACACAGATCCCACAGAATCTGTTGGATAAAGGAGACGTGTCTCTGGCTCTGTCAACGGTAGATTAGGTAATCATCTGAGTCGCAAAACCTTCTATTTTTCATGTCTTGTTTTTTTTTCTGTGAAGCTTGTTTTATTAATGCAGCTTTGTGGTACGTAGCCCTCTGCCTGCCAGAGATCAGCCGGTGGATGCTGATGCAGATGGAACTCTTGGTTTTGTTTGGTTGTTTTGGTTGTCACCACTAAGGATTCACTGCAGCTTTCCCACGAGAATTAATGACATTTGTGACATGCATTACTTTTAAGAAGCTGAGTTATCATGACAGGAGCACTCTGGTAATGGAACAGTTGGATATTTTTGGTAATTCTCTTATTTACTTTTTTTTTTTTGTGTGTCAGAGTTAGATAAAATAATTGATCCCACTCTTATGTTTGTATGGTAAACATAATATGCTATGACTAGCATGCTGGTTAGCTTAGCTTAGCACAAAGACTGGAGGGAAACTGTTAGCCTCGCTTCACTTTGATGCACATGCTTAGTTAAATTACAGCTGGATTTCAGGGTTATATAACCACTGTTCATATGGTGGCAAGTTTAACTCATAAATAGAAATATTAAGCACACAATGCAATTTTTTTTACTGACTTTATTGGTAGTTAATAAAGTCATTTAAAGGCATTTTGCTGCCTTTTCATCTGCACTAGTTAATATCTAGATTCGAGGGGGGAAAAAAACAATTCAATTCAATGTGCTACTCAAAGTTAACTGGCAGCTACCGGAGACTATTAAGGTGGAATGTTTTCTACCATGTTGCTCAGTCCATGAGCAGACAAACAATCAACACCTTAAGATAACCTTAACCAACCTTAAGTTAATACGACAACTCCGACCATTTGTTTTTATCAGCTCTCTTGCTTGACTTACAGGTTAGTGATGATTGGAGCTTCTAGAGCTTTAAAATGAATATAAATTTCTACTGGATTATGTGAATTACACATATTCTGTTTCCTCACATGGAGATAAAAAGTGAGGAAATAGAATCTTTGCGGCTAAGCCGAGCATGAAGAGAGGAGTGGAGCGAGAGTGGAGCTAAAGGTTGAGATTAGAAGTAACTTTAAGCCTGAACATATTTTAAACAGGTGAGTTAAGTGAAAATTCACTCCTGTGCTGTTGTCATGAATGAGTAAATTATTTGTATAAATACAAGCTTTTTTTTGTACTACCCTGGTAGCATGTTTATTTCTGCTGTAAAATTGTGGTATTTTAACATTGCGGTCTATGGGGACTCGCTTTAAGATCCAGCCTCAAGTGGACATTTGAGGAACTGCAGTTCATGAAAATTCTCATTAGTTTAATTTTTAGGCCTCAAAGGTTATTGCTTGCTCCTTCAATAACTAGTTATAGCTCCTAGAGTTTCATTTCCACTTTGAGGCTTCCAGCAGCGAGTCAATGTCGTGACTTCTTCGGCAAGAAATTCGCTTGCTCATTGTTTTAAAGGGGTTTTAACGGTTAAGTTTTAGTAAGACTTAGCATAGACGACTTGCTATAATGTGTTAGCGTGTGAGCTAGTGCTGCGGATAGGGATTGTGTTACCTTTTTGCAGAGCCATGCTAGCTGTTTCTCCGTTTCCAGTCATTATGCTAAGCTAAGCTAACCCACTGTAGCTTCATGTTTAGTATACAGGCTCAAAAGTGGTATTGACTGTCATGTGACTATTAGCAAAAAACAATCAATAAATGTGTTTTGCAAATGTTTTTTGTGCGTTTGGTTTAATAAGTTCTGTCTTAGATTTTAGTATCTAGTTGCAAAAGTTGCTAGCATGACCTGAAATCATAAAAAGTCATGCAGCTAGCAGAGAAAAGTGAAAATTTTATCATGTTTAGCTTCACTAAGATCAGCGATGCACTAACATAGAAGCTGTCATAAGTACTGTTGTCTTTCTTAGTTAATTTTTTCCTTGTAATATTTTATATTTAGTTTTTTATTAAGATCGCTATAGCTACATGTTCTACAGTCGTAAACCTTTTCCACAGTTCTGAAATTAGATCTCAGTGATCCGCCCTCTCCATCAGTTGACCAAAAATGGCATTTCTGTGTTAGCTCATGTCTATTTTCACCCTGTTTTATTTATACGGGGAACCAAATGAATAATTAACTCCGCTCTCATTGCTGCCGCTGAACTAGAAATCAGGCCTGATGAAAACATCAGGCCGTCACTGTAGCAAAGATCTGATGGCACAAGATACAAACGCAGCCAAGCGGTTAATTAGACGGCGATCGTGAGAAAACGCTTTGATATCCGGGGGGACCGCGGGAGTCTTCTGTATTCATGCGCCGACTCTGTCGCAAAGTAAGTTTGGCATTCAGAGCGACAACAGGAAGGCGCTGAGGACACGTGAGGTCGCAGTGCGTCATCGTTTTAATTGGATTATTTTGACAGCTCCTGGAGCGCCGCGGGGGTGTTATGAATTACACAGTGAGGCAGTTGTGATGCTGTTTGATGTCATGTTTCAGCAGTAGGTCTGCTCATTTTCACCTTGTGCGCTATTATTCTTGTCTAAGCTTAAACCCGACGGTGTTTAATTGCATGTCTGTTCAACTGCAGGTTTGAAATTCAAGAAAAATATGCAGAATTTTCTGCAAACAGCCGGTCTGTGTAACCAACAGCACAAAATCAGAAGCTGTTCAGCGTAAACTAGCAAGTCGGTACATCTGAGAAGCCGCCATCAGTGAATTTTTGATGTTATTGCTTGAAATCTTAGTTAAATGTGACAAACTGAAAGCCAGCTAGATGGAGGTCCTCACTGAAGGAAGATTTTTACTGGTTGGCTAAACAGCTGCTCTGTCCGTTTCTGTCTGATCCAGGAGGCGAATGTCAAACAGCTCCAGGATGCTGCCCCCCTCCTCCCTGCTGACCTACTCTTCACCAGGGGGCATCTGACTTACCAAACATGATGAAGACTGAGCCCCCGGCGGCCACGGGGGGCAACGGGGCCTCCGCCGAGGGCAGCGGGAGCGCCAATCTGCGGAGCCCCTCGCCCCACCGCAACGCCTACGAGGCCGGGCTGGCGGCGCTGAAGAAAGCCACCGACCACCTCAACAATGCCGCCAACGGAGGCGCCGAGCCGTCCTCGAAACCCGCCCCCCTGCCCCGCCCGACGGGGAGGGGCCGGAAGTACGGATCCAACGTCCACCGCATCAAGAACATGTTCATGCAGATGCAGTCTCCCGGCGACGAGGAGGATGGAGCCAAAATGATTGGTAAGAAAACCAGATGTTAGATTGTTTGTCAACCACTGTGGTGGAGGGTGGGTGGATCGGTACCGGAGAGGAGGCTGTCTCAAGTCCTACCCCAAACTGAAATTGTCCAATCATAGGACATGGAAACTGTATGAAAAAGAGAAGCTCCTTTGGTAATAATTAAGCCGTGTGGGTTTTCTCAGGTGATTATACTCAGAAAGAAACAGGAGCAGTCATATTTCAGTTTCCTGCTTTTGATGATATTCATACTGTGATATTGTGTGCGATTAAACATCATCATTATAGATTACATTATCAGTGGTTATACTGCACGCTGACCAACCGACAACCAGTAAAAGCAAACAAACACGTTGGTGAAACAAAACTGAAATCTTGAAGGTGGAGTTGCTGATTCTAATTCAATATCTGCTCACAAGCTGTTGGCTGTTCATACACATCTGTGGCTCTGTAAACGGGAAACAAAGTGGGCCGAAAACACCATTCTAGTTTGAGCTTATGCACATTAATGCTTGTGCACAGGACAGGACAGGGGGAAAGGCATGGGGAGGGCAGATGACATGAGAAGGACAGTAAATCTAGCTATTCTCGTAGATTAATCATAGCAACTGGACTTGTTCCTTTAAGACGTTTCACCTCTCATCCAAGAGGCTTCATCAGTTCTGACTGACTAGTTGGGAGTTCCAGATGCTTATAGCCTTAAGGAGCCATTAACACCTGAGTTTCGGGTGCAATTGGGGGTTTGTTGCTCCTCCCCTTCGTTATGTGAGCCCCTGTCCCAATGGGGTAACGAGCTGATGAAGCCTCTTGGATGAGGTGAAACATCTTGAAGGAACTCAAGCAAATCCAGTTGATGAATCTACGAGAATAACCATGACCTGGATGACTGAGAATCTTCACAGACGTAAATCTAACTCAATATTTTGCTAAACACTAACCGTCTTTTTCCAGAACTACATTTTTAATTTGACCTTGTCAAGTGTTTTAATTTCTGCTCTCCTTTGTGAGATGAAGCAAAAATGGCAAAACCTTCCTCACTGATGTGATGCAGAGAAGGAGAATATACTCATGAGCCTGTGAATCACTTCAAGGAGGGTTTAATATGATTTGTTTTTTTGTTTTTTTTTTTAAAGAAACTCTCTGGTCGTTTGCAGGTAAGGACCAGGCGGTGAAACTGTCCCTGCCGAGAGCGTCCAGCCTCAACGAGAACGTCGACCACAGCGCCCTGCTGAAAATGGGCGACACCGTGTCGGAGAGGGTGAACCGCTTCGATTCGAAACCCGGCAGGGATGGCGGAGGTTTCTCCAAACTCCAGGAGACCAGGAGGATCTTTGAGCAGCGGACTCTGCAGGTCAGTAGCTTCACTCACACGTGTAGATTCTTATTTTACCCATTTGGCCTGAGATCGACTGACTTGGCTCTTCTTGCCTCCTTCAGGAGAAACAAGCTGCCACCAACCGCATCCTGCTGAAGAAGGAGCGAGCGTCGGGCTTCCAGGACAGCCGCCTGGACGTCGTGGCTCGCTTCAACGGTTCCACCGAAGCTCTGGACCGGCTGGACGACCCCCCCGTCCCCCATCCTGCTACTGTTCCCCCTGCTGCAGCCTCGGTCGGGCCCGGTGAGGCCGTCAGCCCCACTGTGAGCCAACTCAGTGCCGCGTTCGAGAAAGGCGAACTGCAAAACAACCTCTACCTCCCCCAACGTCGGTCAGCTCCCGCCTTGGCGCCAAAGCCCAAACCTCCAGCCAGAGCGGAGGCTGCCGAGAGGAAGGTGAGAAAAACATTCTGAACTTTGCAAGAACGCTGATTGAAGGAAAGTTCAATCTAGAACTGTATTAAATAAGACCTCCTGTTGTCTCTTTCTTCCAGACAAAGGTGTCCCCTCCAGGTAAGGGGGACAAGGAGGAGGTAACAGCAGGAGTTCTGAGCCCCGAGGCAGCAGAGCTACAAGAGGCGGCAGGTTCCCTACAGAGGGGCGTAGGTGGACTGGTGGCAGGCGAGGAGAAGGACGGGTTTGGACAGTCAGGAGACCAGCTCTCCAACTCCTCCTACTCCTCGTCATCCTCGGTGACCGTCACCTCCACCTCTACCTCATCAGAGGCCAAACCGGAGTCCGACGCTCAGCCGGCAGCGACCGAAGCGAGGGGCTCCAGCACGGCGGCCGATCCCGAGCTGGAGGCCGGAGAGCAGGACGGCTCGAGCGGCGGCTCCGAGGCCGGGGGCAGGCTGGTGCAGGCCGACGTTCACGCCTCGCTGGAGAACGGAGAGAAAGAGCGTCCGTCTTCCTCCCCCTCCTCCGACGAGAAGGAGGCGGACTCGGACGAAAGGGGCAAGGAAGAGGAGGAGAACGACGAGGACGGCTCGAGGAAGGAGGATTACTCGGAGGGGGACCTGGTAGACATCAGCGCGTACAGCGGGCTGGGAGAGGAGGACTCCGGGGGCAGCCAGCTGGACGACGAGGACGACGAGGAAGAAGACGAGGAGGCGTATCAGCCGGAGACCAGCTGCTCAGAAATCGCGGGGCTCCCTGAGGAGGAGGAGCCGCCGCCGCCCTGCAGGAAGATTCGTTTCAGCACTCAGCCAATCAAGGTGAGTGAGTTTTTGCGAGCGGCGGCTTTTCCCGTGCTCACCGTTTCACACATTACGAGAGGCGTCCGTAGCTTGTTGTGGAAAAGCATAATTGGATTTGTCGCGTTGGAAGCTTCCCAGCTGATGTCGATGCTCTGGGTTGCTTTGGAGCTCGTAAGAGGAAGTCCTCGTTGAGACACTTCCTCTGTGTTGTCACCATCCAGCCTGTGTGGTTGAACAAAGATCTGTTCCTGTAGATCCTCGAATCATCTGGGCTTATGACACACTATGATATAAAACCGTGTCCATGCCATAAATCCTAGAAAACGAGGGGAGAAGCTGAGTTTCTTTGATCGTTTTTTATATTTATTTTTGAATTTATATGAATACAAAAAGCAAAGGTGTCATCATAAGTGAAAAAAAAACCCGCCTGCCTTTCATCACATGATTTTCGTCACGTTACAGCTGACTCATTATCGTCTCGTTTGGTTGCGTCAAGGAGAGTTTTTAGCTTTCGACTGAATCCGTTTACAGCGAACGCTTCATTTTGGGGGGAATCTTTAAACAGAATAAAGTTAAAATTTCTCGTTTTCCATTTTATAACTGTTATTTTAAAGCGGACACGCCTTTAAAAGTGGGTTTTGCGGCTCAGAGATCAACCTCATAGGAGCATAACAGCCACTTTCTTTGGCCTGATTAGATTTTTTTTTTCCATTTTCTGTGGACGTGAAATTTTTTTGGGCTGATTGTGGCAAAGCAGGAAACCTCTTGTGGTTGACAGTGATGTTATACATCATTAGAACCACTGGGGTTTATCTTCTGGAGGAGACGTTAAATAAACCTACTGACATTTCAGCTTTAGGGCTCGACAGTTCTTTTTCCTCAAAGCTGCACTAATCAATGTTTTTACAGTTTATTAGCAGTGGATCAAATGACTGTTTCTAATGTGATCTTAGTGATAAACCTGCTGAGAATCATCAGCTGATATCAGCTTACAGACCGTTTTAGCTTCCAGGAGGCCCGCAGCTTTAACGGTTATCGTCAGATCTCGCAACACCAAGTGGAAAACTCTGACACGCCTCCTCTGCGTTACCGGTTTATTAGTAAAAACACACAAAGGCAACGTGTGAGGAGTCAGCAGCTACAGAAGCAGATGTTTTACCAGTTGGTGGAGACCAAAACGGAGCCAAAAGAGCCAAAAAAATGTAGCAGAGAGCTCATGTAGGCCTCAGGTTTAACATTTGAGCACAAGACACTAAAATAATTTATTGAGAGACCTCGTAAAATCCACCTCCGCTGTCCAATAAACTAACTAAATTAAGAGAGTAAGAAAAACAGTGAAAAGACTCATTGACTTCCTCCTCCTTTTACATCACACACATGCATACTGAGGGGGTTTTCAGCCTTTGATTTCGCCACACCATTTCCTGCCGACTGGCTGCGGCTCGTAGGCACTCGCACCGACGTATATCTTCGTCTAACAGAAGCTCGTTTCTGTAGCGGAGAGCCGAGTTTGGTTTCTTCCGCCGCCTCGCAGCACTCAGCCGGTTGCGTTACGAAGCAAGTCTGGACGTGCGGCGACGGAGCTGTCGCGTTGACAACAACAACTGGCTTCCTGAGTGAGACGGAGAGCGTTCGAGCGGTGCGATAATATACCGTAACAGGAGAGATAAGAACAGGAAGTCAAGGGTGCAGCCTCGCATGTTGAGGCAGAGTTTAATGTTATTAGGAAAGGACAAAGACCGCATAATGGACAGCGGGCGTGAGGATCGCTTTGCTCGGTCTTGTCCACATGCGAGGGTGGTTGGAGGAGGAAAGTGTTTCATTCCAGGCCAGGCGTCAGGTCAAAAAGGGATTCTTTTCATTTTCTCGGACCTCGAAGCATTTAACTACTGACCTCTTTCGCCACAGCGCAGCTAAAAGTGGAGCTGTGGCCCGAGGCAGTGTTGTTTACTACAAAGGTGACGGTTAGCTGTCGGGCAAATCCGGTTGCATCGTATGTGCTGCAGGGATGCAACAAACCTGATCGTTCAATAGCATAAAACGTACAGATGAAGCATCACAAGTGTCCAAATGTGATGCTTTTCTATTCCTCCCGTCCACACGTTAGTTTTGCAATTAAACACATTTTCAACATTTAACAGAGATTTGTTTGGAGAGAAAGTGCAAGAACTGGTTGCTGAACGTTTCAGTGACAGTGATTGAGCTGTTTGCTGGCTCCTGCTTTCAAACCAGCTTTTCAAAGGGACACAACGTTCTGCTGCCTCCCCCATCGCTTTATCAGCTCCATCTCTGCACAGCGTTCTGTCGCTGCGAACAAGATTCAGGAGCCTGTAAGATTTTGAACAGTTAAAAGGACTTGATAGAAGATGATTAGTGTGCTACAGCAGCTTTTTAGCATCACGAACATGCTGTTGATTGCAAGAAGAAGTTTTGGGTGATGGATTATTCACAAAACAACCTGAAACTGCTTTAAGAGTTAACCAGCAAATCATTGTTGCTCTTGTTTCTTCTTCTTCCTGGTTTAGCTGGAGAAAAACAATGAAGCGCCACGTTACTGCCACCGTCTGTTTTGTCTTCGATATGGCAAAAAAACGTCTCCAGAAAGTTTGTGTTTCGCGCTGACGTGCTGCAGATTTAAACCCGTTTTGGACCAGGCTTTATTTTTAGGTGAGAAAAGGGAGATTTTAATCTTGAGAGAGAACAGACGCATTTAATCACGAGTTTAGAGTTCAGACAAAAGCGTCATTGGAGCACATTCGACCACTTTGTACAGTCTGTCTTCGTTTACCTCCAGCGAACACAGCAGCAGCTGTTCAGATGTTAGCTGTGGGCTACCTCCAAACAGACCCGACTTGTGTGGAGTCACTTGCTGTTTGCTTTCAGCTACGTTTATGAAACAGAGTCATAAAACCCTGAAAGAAGTGCGTGTAATCAATGTGAAATTCCCCTGCCGTTATTTGTCACCGCACATTTAGAGGATGGATTTGTTACCTTTGGACAGTGCTAACGTTCTTTATGCTAAGCTAAGCTCTCCGGCTGCAGGCAGTGTCTCCACATTTATCGTACGCACATGAGAGTTCAAATTCAATTCAAATCAAATCAGGTTTATTGTCCTTATGCTGTACATACACAGCAGTACAGGCACGATGAGAGAGCGTTTCCTCAGGATTATTAAAGTTTTGTGGAGTGAACGTCTGGGATAAGACAGTAGACGTTCGCTGTCGTTGTCTCCTGAAGGGGCATGGAACAACATGGAGAACACGGTGAACCTCTTCAGGTCCTGGTAGGTCTTCAGGGACACGATGGTGTGATGATGGTGAAACTGCAGATGCTGCCCAGAGCTGTCTGTCTGTCTGTCTGCATCCCCTCCAGCTGTCTGTCCATCTGGGATGCTGTCATGGAGCCATGTTTCTGTTAAAGCAGACACACAGCAGTCCCTTCACTCTCTGAGGGTTTCTCTCAGCAAACGTCCAGCTTGTTGTGGAGGGAGCGGACATTGGAGAGCAGGAGGACGGTCCTGCTGGTCTGGAGGGGTTAGCCTTTAGCCTAGCATGGATCCCGGCTCTCTTCCTCCTCCTTTGTTTATGTTCATACCACTTCCTCCTCTTTTGGGTAACTGCCGGCGTCGTCTCCGATCGGACTCCGTGTTGGTGAGTTTGTCCACATCACAACCGATCGCCACAATTCCAGCGCCGTTCGCTGTCCTGACGCCCAGCAAAGTCTCCCTGCTGCAAATTTTGCAGAATGAACGTCTGGGATAGACGAGACACTCAAAACGTTCACTTTCGTTGTCTCCTGAAGGGGGCGCTCCGTCTATGCGCGCCAGTCAACAAATAAGACTTTCTATTTAAAGATTTTCTTCCAAAATTCGACTAAAAATGTAGCTCACCTAGCTCTAAACAATAAAACTATAACGTTATCTACTGCTAGCATTTCATAGCAATAAGAAAGCTGTTGGAATGTTCGATAATTTCATTTAAATGCATCGCATGTAGCAAAAACGCGAAGCACATCATCCTCGTGTTAACAGTTATTATCTGTGTACCTTCATAAATAAGCTTAAGTGGTTCCAATTAAACAGTTTCCCTAAATGATCAATAATTACCACTATAGACTGAAATTAAACGTGTTATTGTGATTACTCCCTGCTCTGCTGCAGACGTTCACGGCAAACAGTCGCAATAATAAGGATTAAGGAGCCGGACGGCAGCGTTTATCAGACAAACAGACTCTCGAGGCCGACGGCGTTCATACAGCAGCAGGATTATTTATACGACCGAAGAGAACAACTGGTGCAGAGTTTTCGCTCGACTTAGAGAAGAACACGATGAGCTCATGAGCTTTAAAGTGAAACCTTGGCAGACTTTCTCACGATTCTGTGATAAGATATGGCAGAAGCAACGAGGGGGAAAGTTGTAGCAGCTTGAACAGCTATAGGCTCCTATAGACGGCGCTTACCTGAGCCGACTGTGGGCATCAGAAAGCCTCCTGTCTGACACACACACACTTATACGCTTGTCATTCTGGACAGTATATCACAGATTCAACAGACCAGGACTGGAGCTGCAACACAGTGTGAGAACAAATCGTTTCAGTCAAAGCCAGAAGCTGTCGTCATTTGCTGGAGATAACGACGTCTGTGTTGCCCCTACCAGAGAAAGTGACTTCTGAACCTCGGTCGGAGATGTTCTGCTGCGGGGAACAAAGAGCCTGTCAGGAGCCTCGCCGCCCGGGCATGTCGGGTGTGTTGTTTCAGAACTGGTTGCTAATTGTTGCCCTGACATCATCATGATGTGTTGCTTCTTGAAGTGAAACTCCGCCGGCAGAGCTCAGACCTCCTGCAAGTGTCCAGCCTGCCGCCGCAGAACGCCGTTTGGTTTGATTTCCTCTCGGCTGCACAGAAACGTTTATGTGAAAAGTCTGGATGATTAGCGCAACCTGATGAACGATCGC